GGAGAAACTAACTGACGGAATTCCTCCTTTAAAAACTTAGGATTCCGACCGTGTTTTCCATGCATCAACTTCAGAAGAATCTACAGTAGTTCAGTCACTTCTACCTAGCTTTCCAAGGCCAAATGGTTCACTTTTCAGGTCAAAATTGGCAAACTTACTTTGGCTGTTGTGACGTTTTTTCGAAGTCCTCCACCATACGTGCCCCGCCAATTTACGAACGCGCAACGAACCACGTGAGATTGGTTTGTGAACAAATCCCTGGTCTCTGTACTATTGCAATGATTTCAAAGGCATTGGGAGACGCGAACCAGTTATTTCTGCATCGCCTTATTTATCAATGAAAATTACCCGGCATTTTTTTGTGGGGTAGTTTCAGTTTCTTTTAGCTTGGGGAAAAGTTGAGTTTTTTTCTTACTCACAATTTTTGCATATCCATCTTTTTAAATTCTCACAATTTCTATAAAACAATACTGGAGACGTACATCTAAGAAAAGATTGTTTGAATAGTTTGCTTTGTTTTGTTTTATTTTGAACTGAGTTTCCTTATTTTGTATTCATGGATGGCTCACCCCTTTTCATTAATTTGGTATAGCCAGGACTGTACGGAAATGTATATGCAAATTATACAGGGGCAATTGGTCTTTTCTTCCATCACGTGATAACTGCGCAAATTTCCAGAGTGCCGCGATTTCTATTTATTCTTCTATTTAATAATATTCCTCTATTTAATAATGTTCCTCTATTCAATATTTATTTAATATCAAATATTCCTCTATTTGATAAATTTAGCCATAGAGGGCGGGCTTTCGATTAGTGCGGCCAACTTGTCCTCTGATAACCCCCCATAAGTAATATAAACAGCTCAATTAAATTGTACAAAAAACATCTTTAAGGGAATATGGAAGGGGTCAAACAAAATGCGCATTTTAGTTCTTTAAAGTGGAGTTGTTTATGAAAGGGCATGAAGCGGGGAGGGGGGGCAGTAATTTGTAGTTTTGCAAGTTCCAATTTTTAGTGTTCATTGGGTGCTAGATAAATATTTTAAAATGCTGTTTGTTTTTAAATGTAAGACTCACTATGGTGTCGCAAAGCTGAGGATTCATTCAAAACGACTTCAACTTATTTGATGTTTTGAATTAATCAAAGAAGCTGTCTTCTTGCAGACCGAAGTGGGGGCCACCAGAAATGCCTTTACGATAAATCCACCAGTGAAGACGACTGTTTTTAATACGAAATTGTAGGCTATTCATCCCTGTTGCCAATTATAATACAAAGAAAGAAAAGAAAGGAAACACTGCACCCCTCCCATAAAATTCGATCTAGCCCCGCCCCCTCCACATAAGGAATTGGCAACAACTGGCCTGTCGGCTATTTCTTAATCCCCCAACAATAAATGCTTCTGGATCCATCAGTGATTTAGCTGTCTAATCATTTTTTGTAACTGCATGAAGTAAACTTGTGATTGGGATGATATATTTTCCAAGGAATTTCTTTGGATATCCTCATTATGAAGCCTGCATGCCTGATTACAAAACCCAAGTGGTGACCCAGCTGTAGAATTCAGAGGCGGGAGATTGGTCCATCACTGAGGGAGGAATGGAAGCATAACACAACAATCATCTAACCTCAAAGATTTCTCCTTGATTGACTCAAGTCATTGCATGCAATAATTTATTACACGACAATAATCATACAAAGTACACAATGTCAAATAACAATCCCGGACGTCTTAAACTTTGCCCAAAATAGCTGGAAAACAAAAGAAGAGATCAGAAATGTTTCTGCACCAATAACAAATAATACAACAAATTCCAACATATCTCTACTCATAGTTAACCAATAAAAACTTACTTCCACCAAACGGTGCAAATATCAGATATTTAATTTTTATTTTTAAGATAAGTTTGCGGTAGCACCATGTGAATAAATCTCTTTTGTGAGTATGTGTGGTTCTGAAAAGAACCGGAGGGACTTACGTCTCGAACAGTATGCTCCACCCGTCGTCAGGAGAATGAGGGATTCCAACGATGATGCGATTATAAGGATGGGAGCGGTGAGGGCGTGAGAAGGATGCAAACTGGTGAAGCTCCAAACCGGTGAAGCTGAGAAGGATGCAAGTTGACTGATTTACTCACATGGTGCTACCGCAAACTTATCTTGTCTTATCTTTCCACCATGCAAACCTTCAAATCTTATTTTCAAGTTAAATAAACAAATTGACTGTAGCAGGATTACCGTTCCGGATTACTGTACCGGAACAGGAATCCGGAGGTCACAGGGTCAAACCAGCTCTAGTCAATTTCTTTGTTCAACTTTCACGTTATTATAATGCACCAAGACAGTTCTCCTTTGTGGTTTATTTTTATGACTGAAACCAAACTATCCAGAAGTCAGCAGATTATCCTGACTTGTAGTCCGTGACCGAGTGATGACCTTATCTTACAGAGTTGCACATTAATGATCACAAGATAGAAATCACAATTACGTAGTTTGTAAACCATGGCTTAAAGGCATATAGGAACATTTGAATTTCATGCAATTTGTTTGTTTCCAATACAAGTAATGCCATCACTGTTCCACAGAAGAATACTCTCAACCTAACATGTTGAAGCTTTGGATATTACACCTTTCAATAAAGGGTGAAATATCCATGCACAAACTTTTCATCAATAAAAGCGATTTTGTCCATAGAACTCTTTTAAATCCGAACACCAGTCAATTGACTTATCATTGGAAATCACCTACATTTCTTGATTTCTTCTCAATGACAGCAAGCCAGATGGAATAATTTCACAGGGTGTTTAGTACAAGTACGATCTTTAATCCAAGTGAGCTTTTTGATTACAATTCGACAGGTTACGTTTGGGATAAATGCAAATGATCCCATCCCATATCCCTTTAAATGTGTACATTAATGAGTACAAAAATCCCCATCATTTAAATTGCAATCAGTTCGGCTTCGCAAATACAGTGTTTAAATCTCATTTTAATCAAAATCTTCTTTCATGTGTCATGCCAGCAACAACAGTTAAACATTATTTACATTCAGTTTACATTTCCAATGTGAATAAATCAAAACGCTGATTCAAAGTATAGTTTTGCTCTCCTGCAGAACGACTTTTACCAAATTGAATGGTTGCATTTGGGCATGTTATAATGACTGTTATCACCTGGGCAACTGCAAAATATCAAAACTGTTAGAAACAAAAATGTCATTTTGGTACGAGAAAATTTATCATACTTGGAACAAACAAATCTAGTGTCAATCAATACTTTGAAGAGGCTTGCAATGATAAAAACAAGCAAATTGTCCACTTGTTCCTATTTCAACATAATCAGAAACACAGAAACATTTTCGCGTATACAACAATTGCAATGATTGGTCCTGAATGAGCAAACATGACTGTCCTCTGACAAAAATGCATCATTTGGCAATGCAACATTCTACATGTATATATTATACATGAATTGTTTGACAGTATGAACACTGGTTTGGTAACTCTCAATATGGACATAGGCCTATAGTTGAATAGTAAACAAAATCCACGTTATACTGTTCTTACACAACTACACCACTTTAAAGGTATATTACATTAACAGTCAAAGTTAAAGAT